TGATTGTTTCGTGCATTCAGAACGGTAGTTCTCGTCGGAGCTCTGTAAACAAACTTGCGGCAGACTGTGGTTTGACATACTTGGGCATCCTTTTGATCTTATAGACTGTCATGCACACAAGGACGAGGGCGCTTTTGAACTGATCACCTGTGTCCATGCTAATATTTTTTCCACTTTTATCCACCGGGATAAGTAAGTTACTCCTTGTCTTCGGAATATCTCCGATAACTGTTTCTATAGACCTTATAACCGTTCAGCTGTGTGAAAAATAGGTCTTTCTTTTTGTGGTTTAAGAGGTGTCTTAACATAGGTACTTTCACTTGCCTTGGGTTTTTCCTCACCTTTGCCGGACTCCTCTAGAATTCTGTCAGTCAAACAGGTATACAGGGGTGGGTTTGCGTCCGAACTTTCACATCCCGTTGAAGGCAAGGTGTCACTACTAAAACACAATACCAGGGACTGTATTTGCCAAAAATAGTCCCAAAGAAGGAGGAGCAGTATATGACTAAACTCACGTTTCCCCGTAGGCTATACTCAAGCCTTGCCCTTGATTTGGTGTCTTCGAATTCCACGGAGGTCGCCGAGGTTTGCAAATTTGAGTCAAAATGCGTTGGGACCATTTGTATTCTGAGTTGCTGTATTTCACTTTTGCGGCCTCTTTTGTCCTGCGGCCGTGTTCCTTCTTACAATTTTTACTTGGTCGGTCGACTCCCTCACAGATCAAGTAAGCGGTCGTTCCGCTGTCCACAGTTAGTTTACTGTTACATATCATTGCTATGCGTAGCATACCTTAGCACTTGGTATTTTATCCGTACCGTCACCTTGTTTCGTTTTTCCGTCCCCAGCTGAATTCCTACGTGCACCAATTGTCATTTGTCGTTCCCAACTGGTGACCACGCGTCTCTTACTGTGCTGGAGTGATGCTTCACGCGTAATATGTATTCGACGATAATTTTGACAAGGTTTAAGGCTTGCTGTCAGGCAGATTTGTTAAAAAATATAAAATAGCAGTAACCAATGGTGTGCGTGTTGGCGCTGAATCTGAGGTTAGACAAATTGAGTTGGAATTTAAAATAGTAAAATACCTTACGTCGGGAGTCGATTTTTGCAGATTTGCCTAGTTCTTTGTATCAAATCCTCCTTTCTGCTGTCTACAGCGTTATGCTTTTCCCATTTGAAGTACTTACGAAGGGCAGCCCCTGGGTTTATTTTTATGTATCGATTCTATGTGTTCCAGGAGGGCAAAACTCCAAACACGAAATGAATGTTTCGCATTCGCAAATTTGACTTCAGTGACTGTATATTTGTTACTTCTCGGTAGGGCCCAATTATCACTCTGTTCACGAACGTTCGGCTGGGCTACCGCGTCAACAGTAAACAACGCGTTCGTCAGTCGTTTCGTTGATTTCTGCACCATTCGACTCCCGAAGGTTAACGGCACGTCACATAGGGAGGGGGTAGGGTCTACAGCCGCTGCCAATTGCTTTAAGGGTGTTATCGTCAACATCCGCACTTTCTGCATGCGGTCGTTTACTATGTGGAGACCAAGCAAAGGATGAAGAAGAAGAACACGGACGGTATTGGCATTAGTTATTGGGTAGGCAGACGAGACGACCCGATTCTAGCCCAGACTTTATAATGCGAGAGGTTCACTTGATACATCAGTCCCTTACTTCTTTCTGGGCGAAAATGCTCCTGGAAACGCCCAATGAACATCACCTAGTGAACTCCCTTTATTTCATTAGGACTTTTGGCGAATTGTCACTGGAAAGGCGTAAAAGAAGGAATTCTTGCACACACGAGAGAAATGGGCGCTCCTTGTCAACCCACCTAAATCCATGCGATGAAGCCCAGTTTCTCAACGTCAGTAAACGCCGCGGACGACAGCTTGGTGCGGCATATTTTTTCGTACACTTCGTGTTCTTCTACGGCCCCAACAAGGAAAAACTCAAATGTCTTGTATAGCGGGCTTCCTGCTTGCTTTGCTACCTCTGCAACTTTATTATTGAATTCCGAGCTTCGTTTGCCTTTTCGATGTGCTAAAAAGTTTTTCCTTGGGCTGTTAATTACGCCGTTGTCGGCGTAGTTTTCTTCTGACTATTGATCTCCGTATGTTCAGCTGCATATAAATGTCGAAGACCTTTTTGATGTTCTGATTAGGAGTCCTTCGGTAAAATTTAGCCCTTGTCTTGTCACCAAAACTCCGGAAACAAATGTTGTGAATATGTTCCTGGCTGTCTAGTCACATTACAACTCTCCTCTGGTAGGGTTCGTCTGAGTTCTTTTATGTCTCGAGAATATGGCGAGTATCTAATATGCAAATAAGTGTTTTTATTACGAAAATACACCTACTTATTCTGTTTAGATAGGCATGTTGAGTTAGAACTCGAGTTACAATTAGGATTTTTCTGTTGTCCAACATTTAGGATGTATGGTTTGGGCTGGGGTTAGGGTTAAGTTTGTCTGCCGGATGCTCTCTTACCCAATCCGACCATACTTAATCAGTAACCACGGATTCACCGTGTGCCGCCCCTCCACGCGCTCGTAAATCGCATCTTTCAAATTACGTGTCTGTTCCGGTACCTCGTTGAAGCTTTAAAATAAACATGTCAGAAATGGTAGTATTCCCAATGTCTTCCGCAAATTGTCAATTGTCTCGCACATCTCCCCTACCCTCATCCAGTTCTGTACTCTGGTTTCTCACTTGACTCGCATATTAAATCCTTGCCGCGAATAATTACAAAAATACCACTTTTCTGGGGGATCTTTCTCTGGGGTCCTTTGGCCAAGATTTTTGCGCGAATTCTTCGTCTACGTTCCACAAAAATCACTTAAGGGTCCTTGCTGTTTTTATGTCGAGACAGTTCGAAGTTTGCCGTTAAACCTATGTGGCTGAAAGTTCACTTTAAGCAATATTCCCCCGGGATGAATTTGAAGCAAGCATAGCCAGCAGAATTTATTGGAAACAATAGAGTTCGTGACAGCTTATCAACTGGGATCTGGAGCCACACTTCTCTTTTTCCCGCTACCTTGGCACCGAAACTGCTGAAATACTTCAATTCTCCACATCAGTTGGTCATGATGGTGACTTGCTGGAGGTTTCCGTAAGCCCACTGTCCGCCATCCCACCAGTAACGAACATTCATCACTCACTTCTGCCCTCCCCATCCTTTGTGTGGGATCACCAGTTGTTGTCTTGTTACCTATCAACCTCCGACGTGCGAGCGACACTCCTCTCAGTCGTTTCGTTTAATAGCGGGCGGCCATAAACGCATAGAGTAAGATTCTGATTCCCCGAGGAGCCTTGTGCTTCCGGCACCTCTTTTAGTACGTTTTGGGATGAACTTTGATCGCACACAACATTCCAAGGGTTAGACTGCTATTATATTTTGGCACCTTTGTCGGGACTCGATGGATTGTTCCGAATTTCTCAGACAGGATAAGAAATAAGTACCGCCGACTTTTGATGAGTCTTCTCTGCACCTACCATCCATGCTTTCGTTAACTGTTGCGTCCCTGCCGAAATTTCCTACCAGTATTCTTATTGATTCGTGAAGCAAGTCTTAGTAGGGTGGCGGCCAGCTATCATGGCCGGTCTGGCGTCATTGTTTAAGACCTCGCTGCCCCAAGGTCATTCACGCTTTTGCAGTGAACCGTTCCAGACGCCCTGACCTGAAGTCACACGACCGACAGCTCGGGCACATCTGCGGCCGCACAGCCGCAGCTGCCCATGCGCCACTTGAACGCGCCACCCGCTGCAACCAGCAAAATAAGCCACGGGGACACCACCCCCTCGGCAAATGCAGCACACACTGACTGGCCACCACTTGAGCTTGGCCCATGGGCCTACAAAAGCGGCTGCCAGCACTACCTCGGGGACTCTCAGGCATGACTGGACGCAGTCAACACCAGCACTGGCTTCGCCAGTGGTCACTGCCTGAGAGGACAATCCCGGGTTCTGTGCACATTAAACCCCTCATCCTGGTTCCTTTTGTCCCTCTCCTTCCAATCTGGGATTTGACTTGATAATTGTAGCTCGCAGACTACACACATTCTCACAGTTTTGCCGCTACAGTAGCTTCATGGCACTCTGACTGGTGTGAGATCTGGGCTCCTCTTCCATGGAGGTCCGGTGCATGTTCTAGGGACCAGGTAGTGTGTGGCACACGCGCACAGGCTGTTTAGCCTCGTCAGCAACCTCACCCAAGCCCGGCTCCGGGTTATTGGGACATTTCTTTGCCATCGGAACTGCCTGGGTGTGCGGTAGATTTTGCGTAAGTCCTATCTTGCTACAAACTAGGTCACATGCAAGTCATCGTTCTGCGCCCACTCTGTGGGACACACGGTGGACGCCATCCTTCACGATTGTCGAACTGTCAGTGGTGTACTGTTTCTCTTTACACGAAGTGAAGATCTGCCTTTCATAAAATTCTGGGTAGGGCCAACATATTTCTACAGGTAACATTCGTTTACTGTTTCCCGTCTCCGGCTTGTTTTCTCCACACTCATTTGCGCGGATTGAGAATACGCGATTGGTATCTGGAGGGTAATTTTGCACAGCCCGGTTTTGAGTATCCCTGTGTTACAGGTGGGTGTACGCTAAATTTCAAGGCTTAGGGGTTGGGGAACGGTGTTAGGTTTTACCTCCTGACTTGCCGATCAACAAGCACCGTTATTTACTTATGCGGACTTCACAGTTCTGTTACGTCGCCTGACAACCTATTTTACTGCCAGTACATGCGAAGGGGCCTGATACTTTTGTCTACTGCCTCGTATGCTGGTAGGTTGGAGCATACGTTCGAAACGCCATCGAATAAAATTCTTGTTCTGGTGGTTAACTGGTCTTCATCTTGCGCTAGTTAAATGTCGCAATCACGTGCGTGCAATTTCACTTTCTGTCTCATCCCTGCCTATTCCAGCGGCGAAAAAGGTAACAACGCTTTTTGGTTTGACAGTGGCACTGGCATGTAGTGGAGTTTTGCTGGCTGTGACCCATCCGTATGGCGGCTTCTCTTACGTCACCACAGGCCGGAGATCTGCCCGCCTCTTGTCTACACACTCTTCACTACGACTCCATCATCGCTGATGCCTGCGCCTACAACCGCCGTCTTTTCAAGGGTCGCGAAAGTAGGCCGCCATTCTTCGATATTGCTACCCAGATTACTCAACGTCCGGCACCCTGGCTCCAGCGCAACAGCCAGGGAGGTTTAAAACGTGAGTTCGCCTCCTTGCACCCCTCCCTCTTCCCACGTAACATCTATTAGTAGTTTCTGCGCAAACATTAATTAATCAGTATTATCTTCCGCACCTGAGAGAGTGTCCGGATTTCAGTTCCACACCATTAGAATAATATTTTGTAAAATACATGTTACGGACAACATTACAGTAACATGTTTATTTTAACTCGAACATTGCCTATCACCCTTGAATATACTGAAGTATAGTGTGCCTCCTGATGATGAATGCGTTGACTGTGTCCACAGGTTTGTCAACATCAAGGTCTCAGTTCGTCCTAGTTTACCGGCGTCATCGGTGGCGATTGCAGCCTAGACGACCGACCTCCAAACAGCAAACACGCCTAGTGGATGGAATAGCCCTGGACAGCTCACAGCTACTGCTGATGTTTCCGCCGGTCAGTTTCTCTGGCAACCAGTCCAAGTCTGGTGCAAGTGAATCTGCGCCTGGTAAGTCCTCAGCCTGTTGAAAGGTAGTTCTTACTTTCTGCCGTTGTATAATATTCCTATCAGTCGAACGGCTGTGGTCCGCAGCGTTTTCTCTAAGCGTGCGAGTAGAACGTTTCCCAACATTCAACTGGGCAAGAAAAGCCGTGTGTTTTTCGGGCAGCGGAGAATGAGGCTGGTTCTGTGTAAGCTTCCTCTATGTAATCTAGTTTACTTGTCAAGTGTCCTTCACGTCTAGGCCTTGAGGGTTCCTGACTGATGGATTAGTTTATTTCGTGAGATCAAAAGTGAAGCTAATGGCGTCTATACCAATAAAACTACACGACTGGTAATGGGAGTCAGAGCGTTTTGTTGTATGCATGAGCCAAGGCTATCTCTGTCAGTTGTTTGTTGTCTTCTTGTCTTGCTGGTACTGCTCCTCGAACCTAAAGGTACTCGTCTTCCTCTAACTCACATGTGCTTGTTGATGACCGCTAGGTGAAGTTTTATTACCGTAAATCGCCTTGCGTACACCCTATGAACACATCGGACACTTTCGCCAACGAATTGGCTCTGTCAACTTCCTTTATAACTGGAACTCGTACTACCCGTACTGTAGTTGGATCTCACTTTGCATACCGGCAAACACTGGGAGGATCGTGCACAAAATGTCACAATGTGACTTAATTTCCCTGCTTGTGCAGTTTGTAGACAGCGTTGTTTATAATGGAAGCCTGTCCTTGAAGGACGTTCGGCGGCTTACTGTGCGACTTCGAAAAAAGTTGACCCTGAAACAAAATTATTCGGAGCCCGACATTTGCCCTTCTCGCTTATAACCAAGGCGATGGACTAGCAGCAAAAACGGCCTCAGCTAGGAATATTTTTTCGCAATGTCAGCTCCAATACTGATGTGGACTTCGAGGCGGCATTTTGGTAGTCGTATTTTGCGCACTTGTCCCCCTTTTCAGGTGGCCGTTGTGCACCAAAGAACCAACCCCTGCCCCCTGAGCCTGTCAAACAGCCCAGTACTGCCATCCTCTACGACCCAGAGGCTTCTCTTCACGGTTCTGCCTCCGGGGACGGTTCCTGCCTCTCCTCTGCCACCCAAAATTCCACCAGCAACTCGGCCTCCAGTTTTATGGATCGGCGCTTCGTGGGCGACCAGGCCTTTGCGGGCTCTAAACTTCTCACCGATAGTGGCTTTGTTGCCTCCCGGCGGACCGACTATCGTTGTCAGGATCAGCAACAGCAGCCATCCTTCGATGAGCAGCAGCAGCGGTTCAGGACCTACCCTTCTTCTTCTACTGGCGGCGACCCCTCACAGCAGGCCGTCAGCGGTGCTTCATACTACTTAAATGGCGACAAAATGCGTCTACGCGGTGAACAGGGTACAAATACTACTGCCGCGATCACAAGACCGACCGCCGGCTACGATTCTGGCAAGGCGAAGATGGGGAAGAAGAGGGCCCTTGGTGATAGGACTGGTCAAAAGCCCTGCACCAAATCGACCGGCGATTTCGGACAGGTAGATTATTTGGACGTTGATAGGGGAAGTTAGCATTACTGGAATTAGTGTGGTCAATACTGCGTGACTTAACATTTTTCACGAATGCTATCAAAGCGGTTCTTCCACTATTTTTTTAACTGCAGTTGTTGTTAGTCCCTGGTGATCGGCCTAACTTATTTTTGATCCCGTAAACTGAGAGTTGCGGGAAATCGAGAACGCATTTGCAGATGGCTGTTTGTGAATCGGTTGCCTTTGATGGTTTTTACTTATCTGAAGCAACTCCTAGACTTGTGTTTAAAACGAGGAGTTTCCCGGATGTATAATGCGATCTTGAAAGCCCCAGAACGCTGCATGAGCTGCTAATGCGTATGGATCCTAAATTTTTGAATCTCCCTGTTAACCAGTCATATCTGTTTTCATGCATGTTTCACGTCCGCGCATGCCTTTTGGTTTCAGGCGCAGGTCGGAAGAAGAGAACCACGCTCCAAAACAGACAACCGTCGTTATGACGAGGGCAACCGACATGGACTTGCGCTGGATAGCGAAACCTTGGACAACGACAGCCAAGGTATGCTCCTCTTTGACGTTGGTTTTCGCTTTTTTTGACATCCACACACTGTCATTCTAGGAGCTTTTAAAGTAAGTAATCTTGTTTCTGCGTATGCAATATCCTTGTTAATGTAGGTTTTGTTGGAAAATACAAAATGTCTTACCCCCACGAGACAGCTTTCGCCTGTCCCTGACTTCATAGTTTAAGGAAGAAGAACAGAGCAAGTTCGTTAGAGATGGAACCCATGTTTTCAATGCCTAGGTTTCGTAATACTTTATCAGCAAGTATTCGTATAAATATAAGACACAGTTGTCTCATTGGCCACAGAAGGTCTTCTCGGCGGATTTAAACCAGGGGTGTTTTCTTCACTTGCTTTAGGGGAAGTGGTTATGATATTTCAAGCAGAGAAGGATGACGTTGAAGGATAGAACGCATCAGCGACATTTCTTTCGATGTCTGACGTTGCGAGTAGTGATTCTGTCTACCCACCTTCAGAGACAGGAGAGTCTTGCGCACAGATCCCATTATATGGCGCATATTTCTTGATGAGTAGACCGTCAATGCCACTAAATGCACCTCTACCAGTGAACGTTTCTTCCCCTTTTGAAATGTCGTCTTGAGTCGCATTTTCGCTACTAATGATGTTACTTATTACCTGGGGTCTGCTGCTGCTCCCAATTCCAGCACCAAATGACTGACAAGATCAGACATTTGACTGGTGCATGGAAGAGAGCAGAGTGAGTGAGATCAATCTGACGCCCTTTAAAACTATCATGATGCATTAAAGGTCATAACTTAGGAGGTTTCCAACTGACAGTGTAACTCGGTCATCGTGGCCATTCTTATTCTTTTAATTTGGCCTCTAGAGGAATCCCGCTTTAAAGAAATCCAAACCGTCCCTTCTAGTGTGAAATCTCTGTACATACAGCAGATGTGCCTACTCACTTAGTGTTAACCGACTCGAAAAGGTTACTTAAGTAGGGTTGTAGTATTAATTACCGTGCAGCATAATCCCAAGATGTTTCAGTTACTTCGGGATTCCGTCTTTTGGGCGAAGTTCTTTCCGGCCGCCTGCAAAAACTACATTCTCTAAAAAGCGAATACTTAAGTAGTATGTATGTTTTACTTTTATTTCGATGTCCATATAAATTTGAACATATTTCATAGAAAACATGCACACAATACTGGGCGGCCTGCAAGATCCAAGTTATTCAGTCAGCTGGCAACCTTCTAGGCCACGGCTTTCAGCGCACCGTGGTAAATTCAGGCACGCCAGATTGCTTATAGTGAGGAGGAAAATGCGCTGAGTTGACCTTACTCTCCCCAGTCCCAAGTCCCAGTCACTGTCCGAGCCGGTTAGTTGACAGATGTTGGGAATGGGCGCGGTGGCTGCCATGGTCTAGTGACTTTGTCTGCGCGCGCCACATGCACGACCTGGCCCCCAAACACAAGCACTGGGATTAGACACAACGGGGGTTGAGCGGCGTACATCTCACATGCATGAGAATGCCGTAGGCCACGTTGAGAGGGAGCCGTTTTAGCCTGGCTCTCCGCCCACAAATCCGCCACTTCACACATACACACAGTGAGTGTCGGCCCCAGCCAGCAGCCTTTAAAGCCACAGCGCTTGACGCACCATGATAGTCTCAGACTCGAATCATACATGCAGCAAACGGGCCGCACGGAGACAGAGCCGAGATGCACACTTTCTACTTGTGTTGGTGGTGGCAGTTGGATGCTTGTAATGGGTGATGATGTTGTGTGATGCAGGTGGGTGTTGATGTGATGGTGTGGTTTAGCCGGCGGTTGTCTACCGCAGGTTTTCGTGAATGCGCATGTGGCCTAGTGGGCCCATGGGGTGAGTGAATGTGCAAGTGCAGTGGGGCAGACGCGTCGGATGTATGTTGGTGCTCCAGGCAGTGGTTCGCCAGTTGACCAAACATGCAGCGATTATAAGAAGAAGAAAATTGGCTCTCCCTGTTCCGGAGAGCCAATTTTCTTCTTCTTATAATCTTCCCGGATCTCTAAACTTTTCCAACCATGCAGCGATTGCACGATTATCAATACCTGAATTAACGAAATGATTCCAGCAATCAGTAGCCATATGATTGCTCGAATGACCACACATCGATAGTGGCATCGGATCTGCTAAGCAGGGATACCGGTACAGCGCACCCGACGAAAGGCATGATAGGCTATGGTAATGCCTGAGAGATTGATTGCGACATGTTTGCTCCAAACACTCGCGTTTAGACACCCAAAAATGTTTAAAGTCAGATAAGCCTCTCCTTTCCGTTTACAAAAGGCATGCTTCAGCAGACCGGAATTTTAGTCACCTATGGAGATAAACGGATTTGAGTCTACAGAATCATTTTTAGAAGAAACAAAGGTCCGGTCGTGAGCTTTAAGGCAGAGCTGGTCAGTATTATGTGGTCTCTGCTCGACTTTCGAAGGTGCATGCAAATAAATGTCCTCGGCGACATTTGATATGTGGGCGGTCAAGTCACCGAGATTTATTCCGGCTGGAGTGTCCGATGTAAACTCGACAATGCCGGCCGAAGAGCCAGACTCTGGCGTGTCATACTCTTTAGGTACAACCAATAAGCCCGGAGATTTTATCAGCCTGTAAGGGATCTTCTTGCTTATTTCCTTCTAATTAGTCACTTTACAACAGTGTGTAGAGGAGCCGGATGCTAGCAATACACCAGAAGACATTAAGCAGTGCAAACCCGTGCAGGCCACTGTTCTGCGTCCTCCACCTTGTGAAGCACACGGTGAACATCGCCGTTCGTGAAGATCGAACTTCCACATCATCCTGAGTAGTAATTGTGATGTGTATTTTGATGGGGAGACCGTGCGAAGCATCAACCCCTCATTCCCTCCCATACTATTATGTGTCATTAGCAAGAGTGGGTCTAAATAGGTACCCTCTCCGCAAGCTCTCGCTTGCCGCACCGATCCGATATAAACCAAACCAGGACACCTGACATGACCTTACTACCACGCCGAGCGTAGTCTTCTCGACTCTGCTATAGAGTCCGTCCATCCAAAACAGACTGGACAATATCTTACCGCCATAACACAAACGAAGCTGTGTCCGCACGCTGTACCGACGGGTGGAAACTCATTGCAGCACGCCAGCCGCCAAACTGCATGAGATAAAGCTCCTCCTAGAACTTTTCAGAGCCAATGGCTATCCGCGGCATTCACTGAACGAAGCCGGAGGCAGCCAAAGAAACGGAACGAAGAGCATAGTTAGCCAAAGTCGTGGCGGAGCATTTCGTACATTAAAGGGGTCTCCGAAGTCGTGGCTCCATCACTCGCGCCACTCGGAATAGGTGTTGCCCACAGGCCTGACTCAACAATCCGCCGGCAAGTGATGCGGCCGAATGATCCGATCCCTAAGCAGGAGATGTCGGCCGTTGTCTACCCACTTCAATGCAACTGCGGAAGTTGCAACTACGTTGGGGAAACCGGCCGACGGCTGCAAACGCGAATGCACCCAAATGGACCCAAAGTCGGAGGTAGCAACCCATGCCGCGCAAATGGGACACATCTTCAACTTTGACGCCGTTGAGATTGTGGGCCGGGGCAGCGATCACACAGCAAGAAGCCTGGATGTCCACCGACCGCACTGTCAACCGCCACATCAATTTGCCTCCCCCCCTATCTAACTGTACGAACCTTCTTAGCGGGGGACAGTCACGGCGCGGGACAATCGGGACCGTCAGTCATCACCGCGGCCGACGGGGGCAATTCAGGTCACGGTGACATGCGGGTTGGATGCAGCCACACAGACGACATTGGCGCCTCACGCATTGGACAAAGGGCTCCATAATAAGGAGTGCTGTGCACAGGACTTCCCAGTCCCTGAAGATGGGTAGACGAATAAATTACCTGAAACGTCGGATCTCAAATAAACCCCTCCCGCTGAACGCCCCCTCTTCTTTTGATATGCCACCTGGGAATCACATTTTCACTACTATTGAAGAGTAGACTGCCTTTTCTGCTCTTTTGGTTGTTCAGGTCGGTGAATCATCCGATCTCTGTTCAAATACCTTCTCCGGTGTATGGAAAACTGTGTGCTATGATATGTCCCATTTTTTCAGTGGATCCAATATGCGATTTTATTTTTTAATTTTTTAATTTCATTCCTGAAAGCAGATTGCGAATGATATGGAATAGGCCAATGTCGGCTGCTGGACCCGTCTGTGGGCGCTCTCAATTAACTGCGCGCGTAGTTGCAGCCAGCCAGGTGGTAACTGTTTTAAACCCCAAGACGTGACATTAGCCAGGAAGAAGGTACTTCTCTACGAGATCTGTCTCTGTGTTCCGCGGGGGAAAAAATCCGAGATCGCTCTGTCCACTTCACCCAAATGCCTGTGTTTTACTCACTCAGCAAGATATTTCTTGTTTCGGTTAGAGCAAGCTATTCCTATTTTTAGCTGTGATTGTTTGATCATCCTCAGGGCTTGGACACACTTGTTCCGGCTGATCTTCGTGTTGATTAATTCTGCTATCTTGTAGTGAAGCGTAGTGTGGAAAATTCGGCCTTCTGGCACCCCTTGTATTTCGAGTGTCTTCTTCTGCTTGAATGTATTTGTCGAGTTTTTGCGCGTTGGTTCTCACTGTAAGCCCGGTCTTCATTACTTTCTGAAAACATACTAAAACACTCTGACTGAAGGACCCTTGCGCTGCCTACAACGTTTGAGGGTTTAGATTGGCAAAGTTGAGAGATCCGAGTTTATGATTTGAAGAAGAAAATGGGCTCACCGGAACAGGTTTATTTAGATGCTGACGTTTCAAAGAGCTTGATCGGATCTCCATTGTCAAAGCGTAAAATGCACTTAATCAACCAGAGATCCCAAGTGACGTGTCACGTTGGTCGGCCTCGGCCTCTCGAAGGATGGTTGGTGGGCGTTTTGTCTGCGTGCTTTGTGAGTCACCACTCCGTCGGGGGGAGCTGACTGAGCCTTTGTCGGGTGGTCGGTCTGGCGGTACTTGTTGTTCCTCACCGAGTACACTCGTCGTCGGGCTGTCTCCATATCGCCCTCTGAAGTCCGGTGTGGTTGTTTGGTCCTGAGCTCTACGATTGTAGCGGCGTAGGACTTTGTAAGCTGCAGGAAGGTCCAGATGCCTGTTGATGGATTGGGCATCGGAGAACCACCCCTCGAGCGTTAACCGTTCCGCCTTTGTGTTGCCCCTGCCCAAGATGGTAGCTCCCTGGAGATCGGAGTATGCCCAGTTTCTCCAACGTGTGTTGCTAGTTGAGAGTTAGGGTCTAACCTCCGAGTAGCCGAGTTGTGATCTTGTAGGCGAGTCTGCAAACTAAAAATTTCGGCATAAACTCAGACTTCGTTTACGAACCGTGGGCTACAGTGGTGGCAATTTCTGTTTTTTCCCACACAGTGAACCATTCTTTGCCGACAGTGGTGCTGCTGTTAGATTCTCATCAGTGGCATTTTCCCTGCCAGACTTCCATCCACGTTTTTTATCTCTTCTTGCGGGCGACGGAGGATCCTTGTTTCCTTGCACATTGCTCCGATTATTTTGGCGCTTCGTGATCCACTGAACAGTCAGCTGGTAGAAGCTCCCCAGACCATCTTGCTGACGTGAATTATACGAAAAATGGGGTTCGCTCAGCCAGAAGACATTCTACTCTGTGGGCTACCGAGGCCTCTACGCCCGCATTCGTCCGCTTGCTCTGCCACTGACCTGTCGTAGCTGCGTCTGCAAATCTCGCGCTCTTTATCGATATTGTTTTCAACCTGACTCGCAGGGCCACCTACCGTCCGTAGTCTGCTTAACTAAAATATATAGCTAGGAGGGCCTGCAGTGTAGATAGATAGATAATTTTTTATTAAAGACCCGTCGGGGTCCTATTAAAGCAAGTTAAAATAAATTTACATGCGAATTTTAGACGAGGTAGGCTGAATCTTCACAAAATGCAATTCATAGTTTCTGAATTAGTAGTCCATTGAGAAACATGATGATTGAGGGGTGGAAAACAAAACTCCTTACAAAAAGTTAAAAATGATTGGATTAATTTTACAGGAGAAAAAAACCCTCAATAAAAATAATGACAGAAAAAAGCGAGCAGAACTGGCCTGTAGGTGGCGGTATATAACGGAATGTTGTCGGTCATTGTCAGGGTAGCAATAAATCTCAGCCTTGAGGGGTACGTATGCGGGACTGGCTTGCATGTGGCATTGTATACGGGATTCACAATTGAGATCGTCTGGGCCGGATTGATACGCCGCATGAGACTATTCGCGTCAAAGAGGCCAGACGAGAGGAACCCAGATGTGATCGGCCACAGCACGCTTTGAGCTCAGCCGAGCAGTGGGGAAGGGAGGTACGACCAAACTACTAGTAGACGGCGAATACTGAGGGTTCCGCCCTGAGCGTCGACAGACCGCATGAGGTCGGAATGCGGGAGATGACATCAAAAACCGCGAAAATTGTCGCTATGGGGGAGGAGTGATAGCAGTGGATTTAGAAACCAATTCAAAACAGGGGTTTCTAATGATATAATTAAGAGTTACCACCTACTAAGTCCTAGGAGGACCCTTCTCGAAGTCAAGAATCTGAGTGTTCGGGAATGAGACCGTTAACAGTGCCTTTATGCTTTCCGGTGAAAGATGTTTGCGTAATTTCGACTTGAATACCAGTAACTTAGGCGATAATCTAATTTCTAATTACATCAGGTGCCTGACGTACCGTAGAGCGCAAAATGACCTGGTGTGCGGTGCTCTCTTTTTTAACTGTAGATTCATGTGCGTTGTCCGAAGAGGCGACCTACCGCAGTAACGCACTTCTCCCTCCGCGTCCGCCACCGCTGCCGCCTCCGGGCAGTCCGCCGCAGGGATCACCCTCCGGTCTCCTGCATGCGAACATGGAGAGAGGGCTGGCTGCCTATGGGTCGAGGGACCCTCGAGGAGGCAGTCTAACGCAGCCGCCGCGTTTTTCTGAAGGCATTTTGGGTAGCCAGCCGCGGATGTCGACGGCAGACAATGGTGTTGAGATGAGCCCGTCGCGGTCGGACAACAGCTCTCTTGACGGCCTACGCTGGCGCTCAAACTCTGAAGATTGCAATCCCAGTTTTCAGAAGGCCAACGTCAAGACTCCCGTCACACCGGGGTCCGGTGTACCTAGCGTCTCACTGGAGAACACGCCTTGTATGTTCTCCACAGATACACGTATGCTCTAGGTTTTTGTTTTTCGGATTGATTGAGTTAATAGTTTGAGCAGGAAGGCATGCGCCGAGTAAACGAATCTGGGAAAAAAGTTTGCAACGACGACTAGAGCTGAAAAAGCAGCCAGTGCACGGTCGCCAGTGACTTGCGCTCTTGATAACCGCGCGCGTTCTATTCTGCATAGGATGGCTATGGGCACCATTCCACAATTCCTGTGAATATTCCCATGTTGCGCTTAAACGGTCAGATAATTTCAGCAATTCATCATCAAGCCTATTCAATTACATGGGAGATGAAAATATGAGTTTATAGGCGTCCCAGGACATTAGACACACTTTTCGTTCCTACGCCGCTTGCATAAGAAGTTCAGTATCTTGCGATCAGTACGGCTGGGAGAGGAGAGTAGAGGTAGGGAGCGAGCGAGAAATGTAGGTAGGTTAGACACGAGAAGTGCGCATAACTGCCACTTGGGGGTCGGGGCGACGTTTGCCATGGGAAATGAGGCGCCTGCGCCGACGTCTTCTGACAGCAAATCGCTGTGTTCGCTAGCCAAATACCTACTTCATCGGCTGTTAATAGCAGCCTTTAGCGTAAGCCCTTTGAGCAGTTTGTTGGTGTCGAGTAGACAACCCGAAGGGCTTCATTTGCGTCGACTCAGTGATTCGCACTGAATAGACGTGCGAGAATGGGACTTTAAATCCATCCCTTTTTACCTCCGCCAAGCTGCCGATCCGTACATGCGACTGTTATGGGAGCGAGGAGTGAGACTAACCCTCTCGGATGCTTATAGACCCTGTCCACGACTTATGTCTTAATTCTCCATGTAGGTCTATTGGGCAGATGATGACTTGCTGAAAACAGATATATTCAACCAGTGTTGTGGTTTTTTATACGTTTAACCTCTAAAACTGAATAACACGTAAAGAGCAATGATACTGGATCACATTTATGCCGTTTCCTTCTGCATATAAACAAACAATTCTTCTGTAATTTTCACCGCGGGAGTAATTTTTGCGGACTTTGAGTTGAAAATGCTTTGAGGCGCTGGGAACCTGTGAAATAAAGCGATGGGAAGTTGACAATTGCACATATTTTCTATTATACTCATTCGTTTCATAGATCTTACAGCGGAAATCAGTGGTATCTGCGGGGTGAGCCAACAGACGACGTAGAAACACCTCCTTTAAACTGAATGACTTGAAGGGGTCCAGATACTGAATGTGCCTTATTCACCACAACCCCAGGTCCAGTCCTATTTAGCCGAGCGGATGTGTGGATCAGAAGGAGGAACTTATTTTGGGACGGGACGTTCTCGTGTCCATGCCTTTGGTTCCCCTGCCGCCAACTGGTCCTGACTGACCGACGTATCACAAGGCGTCGTGGCCACTCAAAGCATGCTCTCACGAATAAGGTTGTGGGGCGCGTGAATGCGCGTGCATAAGCATTGAACAACGAATACTTTTCCTGTGGTACAGGCGTGCCGTCATGTAAGCCATGGCGTGTGTTGTTCAGGTCAGTGAAAGCGTCCCGTCGAGGTCTACAAGCAATGTTAAGGAATGTCTTTTGAGGATATTCGTAGGCTACAAAGTCTTCACGATTTTGAAATTAGTTAAAATTACCAGCATCTCACTACGTAGTCTCACATTAGCTGTCCTTATTTTACCTCTATATACATTTCTAGATGAATGTGTATGCAAACTTTTAATAACGCAATATTTGGGGTACTTTTCGCCCTGCAGAGTTAATTTACGGAATAGGGTCGTATTCATAGCGTCCAATCTGTCTTTTACTGTCTTCTGAAATGTTGCTCCTTCCAGGCTCTATGTTTAACGAATCCAACGCGTCACCCGTTTCGTCGGGCGGCCGATCAGCCCCTAGCAATCATCCTTGCGGTCTCACCTACACTCCCTCTCCACGGAGCTCCGTAGGCGTAAGCGGTGCTCCGGTACCGCCACAGATGACTCCTCAGAAGCTGACCTATGGAAAAAGGACCCCCGGTAAGGTTACGATGCCGACAGGAGCGACACCGACTTCACCACCATCAGTACCGCCACCTGGTATATTGGGCAGTAGTTGCATTTCTGGTGGCCCACAGCAACAACAGGAACAGCAAACACCTGGAATCGACGGACAGGCCTCACAAGCGGACAGCTCTGCCACTACCATGGTAACTTTCTTTGTCTGCGAGGTTTGTGCGTCGCGGTATCGCTCGACTGCGGGCCTGCGCTACCATTATCACAGTCAGCACGCTGGCTACACTCCACGCAACCCTATATCGGCGTCAGCGTCTCGAATCACCATCCCGATGCATGAGTACAACCGTTACGGACCGGCTACTGGTCTTCGTGGTGGACGAAATAGTCGTTCGAAACGCAATCGTTGTAACAGTGAGTTTTGCGTTCTATTGATTCAACCTCACTGTTAATTCCTGATGAGCTATCTATTCCAACTTATTTACTTTTTTGTCTCTATTACGCACACGTTTCCATCAGGCGAATAGTCTGCCTGAATCTCATATAAAGCCTCTCTAGTCGGCCCTGACTAATGAATATGCTAAAAACACTTTTGTTATTGACCTTGACCGTTATGGACTCATTTGACAACCTAACAGTGGTGTTCCGCACACGAGTTAACTTGGGACTTTACCTGTACTGATGCATTCTTACGTTCAGTTGACAATTATCCAGATTCCAAATCTCTCAGGCGGTTGCTGTAGTCACGACTTCTGAGTGACAAGACGGCTGGTAAAACGTCCCAAGCCTGCTACTTTCACACCGTTAGAATTTATTCTGGATAAACCGCTAACGTAGAAGACGCCCTATTGCATAGAAATAACAAGATCAGTTTTCAGCCTCTCCAATTTAACAGCCGCTTAGGTATTGTAGGTCAATACGGCTGCTGCACCACTTGTCAGCATTAACAATATGCTAAACTATACAAACTAAAGATGCAGTACACTCCGGTCGTCTCAGCTTTTCTGTAACTGAGAACCAGCCTGTACATGCGTACTGTTAAAATACGGTTCCAACAGACAGGTGGTCGCATGTGTTACATAGTATGACAGCTTTTTTCATCGTGCTGCTGCCTTTAGGTGGCACCTTTCACAGCACCCATATCTTGATGAGACTTGAAAGAAAACGGCCGACTTGACAACCCAGTCAAGGCACACAGAACTTGCCGAATATGAGGCTACAAACATTACGTTTTTTTATCATTTTTGCCAGTAAGTGGGGTTTGGCCTGTGTCACATACTAAATAATTCGCCATACTGACAGCACAGGTACCAGCTAAAAATCCAGACAGGCGTGTTTTCCCGTCACATGACGCCATTGCCAGGGGTTCGGCTCATCGGTGGGTCCCCCAGCGCTCCTCGTGTGCTTTCTGGCGTTCGACTTTCAGTTTTTAAATGCCGTCCTTTTTACTTCCGTCGAAAAATTAACTCGCAAACTAGGAGTAAACTCTTCGGAACAGGACCTCAGGCGGAGCCTAGAAAGGTCTATTCCAGAAGATCTACTCTGTCTAAGCGCATTAATTTCGGAGGATATTTGAAAGGGTGACATTGAAAGTGTTTCCGCGTTCCTCGTTTTCCCTACCCCCTGGCTTTCCATCCGACTGCTACACATATTCACTTTTAGATAACTACGTGTGCCATCGGACCGCCGCCAGTTCATCCCAAAAGTCACGGGCTCCTCCGATGAATGGGGGACTTGATAGCCAGCGCGGCAGCTCCGAAGTCGGCGGGCTTCGGGGCCCCTCGGAATCGGACCTTTATCAGATGCCGAGCGATGCCACTCCTGAGGACCATCGGCCCAGAAGTCTGTATTCTGGTGGTAGTATGTGCAAGCCGTTGCATTGTCTATAAATTGTTTAGATTTTAGCTAGGACTTTCAACTGAACCGATGCCTTCCCCTCCAGTTCTCGTTCAACCCTGTAGTTCCAACTGAGATGCAATGACAGAGACTGGAGGATAACCTTTAAGGGGGGTGAATAGGCTCTCAAGGGCAAAATCGGTCCGGTGTAACTGTTATATTTCCCAGCACATAGTTTAGAGCTTACTTTAACAGTTCGCCAATGCGGGTACTAATTCCTACATAAGAAGAAGCTAACAAGCAATTTTCTGTCATGAGTTAGCCCACCTACTGTATGTCACGACGGCTGTTAGCCCATGTACGCGGTGCCAAGCAAGCGAGCAAGCTTTTATACTTGTCAGGATTACCGCTGCAGCCGTTAGACGCAGTTCATGGGCCAGCGGGATTGCGGGTACTATATTTGTTATTTTCTACACTGTAACTGATTCCATCACATTGACGATCTGGGTCTTAGATAGAAACTCAGACACGTTTTTCGACTACTTTCTTCTGTTGCGTGGTACAACCGTGATTGGCTCAGTCCACAACGCGTCCCCCTGTCTATGCGGTTGCGTACTCCACTTTTCGATGTGAAGCTTATAACTTCACCTGAAACTAATGTGCTAACTTGGAATGACGTCATTGGGACAGGTATATTTGATTTGGGCATCGAAGATTCAAGCTTAGTGCCCTGATTTTCAGCGGGATGACAGCATAAAAGCCTTTAAACTCCCCAGCAGTAGGTGTGGTACTAGGTAGTTTCGCCGCACGCCCAAATTATTACTTGCTGAGCGCACACGCGGGGGTTTCACGCATTTCCTTCCGGTACATTAGGCTTCGGCTAGGAGTTTGGTCGCTTAATAAGTTACTCCGTCAAGAGCAACAGGAGCATCCTCTGTTCCGATGGGCACTTAATGGTAACTTACCAACATTTTCATGTTGGGAAGGGTCGGGCGTTAGTGTTGCGGGTCAGGGGCGCCTGAGACTTGCGTGCTTCCCGTGTGGCTGTTGAAGCGGCTATCCGGTCGGCTTTATAGATGGCTGCTACAGTCTTCACCATTCTTTTTTAGTCCGGTCGGTTCTGTGCGATCTCTTGCTAAGCCTTCGGGTTGATCTATAACCGCCTCAAGGAATTCTTTATGGCGTCCTTGTAGAGACGGGCTTGACTTCCTTGTCGGCGAGCACCCATAGCGTCGTCCTCGTAAAAGAGCTACTTTTCTAAACGTTCGTAGCACACACTCGCGAGGTGACCGCTGCAGCGTAGTTGCAGTTGTCTCATCGTCCGTTTCAGAACGTTTGTGTCCCGAATCTGGTCCTGCTCCCTCAGCTTTAGTATCAATCAAAGGCAACCGAGGTTTCCGCGCTTTTTTTATCCTAAACTGTCCAGGTCTCCATGCTATACAGCAAAGTCGTCAAGATTACCGCTTTGTGCATCTTGGGTTTGATATTGAGATGGAGATCGTGGCGATTCCATACGAAGTTCTGCAGGCGGCCGAAGGCCCGGGTGGCTCTGGAGAGTCGGTGAGCCGCTTCGTCGTCAATTTTGATCCAACGTGAGAATGTGCTGCCTAAGTAGGCGAAGTTGTCCACGGCCTTCAGTTGGGGGTTGTTAACATGGATGCCAGGAGCACTATATGCAGCGTTAAGCCGCGGTTGATGCACGACCGCCGTTTTGTTCCCTTTGGTGGTTAACCCGACAGTTGCGCAGCCGTAGTCGGTAGATTACGACCCTCAGACCATTTTGGTAGGCGCGACGAAGTTCTCCATTTCGCCGCGGATCTTTTCTGCCTACTGCGTCATTTTTCATTTCCTTCAGCCTCTTCCATACCAGGCGTAGGGTGCGGCTTTGTTGGCGTAAACTCCACCCTTGGCGTAGATCCCGTAGGGCCTGTTATTCCCACAGAGGAGATGTCTTATTTATTCAGCGTTGTTGGCATCCGCGATCGGGTGCATTCAAAGAGGTGGCGTAAGTCGTGTTCCACAGTCTCCACCAGTGCGTCTCACCACGGGTATTTTCTTCGAGTACCTACGTTTGTTCCAGGTTAAGATTCACATGGCGCTCAACCGTATCGGTTAATGCGGTATTTAGGCTACTTTGAGATCGTCTGCCGGGGTTCTACTTGCAGCCTCATCTTCCAGACAAGTTGATGGTTCGCCCGGCATTCTGCAACACCTTACCTTTGTCGCTAGGACAGCACGCTAATAACATCTGCGAACAACAATGCAATCCAGTAGTAGCTAGCGTCGTGAGCCAGGGCACATCATCCAGGTCAAATGTGGTTCGGTAGCCTCACCTGAAGTAAACAAACCTCAGTCACCTCTAATACGGACCGATGGCAGTAGGGGTTTTACAGGTGGAGCCGGGGAACGCGCAGGCGACGGGGTCAAGTAGTTGTGTCCATCGGCGGATCTACCAAACCACATCTTACCCACATCAACTTCATTTCCAACCAGGTAGCGTAAAATATACCTACTAGGGCATTGAAGTCGCCAAAGGCTGTCTGTGACACGGGCTCTAGGAGGGTGTACAAGCCTGCGTATAATTTGTTATCCTTGCTGTCGGGGCTTCTCATTGAGGTTGCAGACGTTGATGACGATGGCGAATTTGTTCTCACGGAGAGATAGTTGCAGTGTATCTACCGATTTGGACTACCTAAAAGATAGAGTTACTTTAAGTCTTCTGTTTTTTTTCATCATTTTCTGGTTTGTTAAGCGCTCTTGAAAATTACCCACCTAAACACTCCTTTTCCCTCCTGCAGGCAGCGTTGCAGAGCGGAGCGCCAGCGACTCCAGTTCGTTTCTCTCCTCATTGAAGTTGAGTACATCCAGCGACCTGGACTATACACGCAGGCAGTCACCCAGCTTTAGTCATAGTCCACTGACGGCTGTCGCGCCGGAGACTCAAATGAAGCAGCCCTTTAGTGGCCAACACTTTTCAGCACTACCTGATACTTCCGTTTCTTCTTGCTCTTCGTCTTCATCTTGCTCAGCTCTCGCTTCGATGGATCACATGGCCTCATCCCTTCTTCAGCAACAGCAGCAGAGCCAATCTTCCGGTCTACTCACTCAACTTCAGTCAGCAAACTTTGCGAAAAATGCCCGATCTGGGTCCCCGAAGGAACAGCACATAGGTCGGGCGTTTACTGATAGCCTTTCTGTCCTCGGGACTACGACCTCGGCCTCTTACGCCGCCGATACCTTCAAACTGATGCAGCCAAGTAAGCCAGAACGCGGGGGCCAGCAGCTTGGCGGCACTTCACCGTTATGCGCCCAAATGCCGCCGGAGGGATCAGCTGTGACCCAGTACCAAAGCTCGATGCCCTCCTTTCTGGCAGACTACTATATGACTCCCGATGCCTTCTCTGGCGGCGGCGGCGGTGGTGGGGTGCCGATGTGTCATCAAAGACCACCGCCGACCTACGGTCCTGGAGCTGCTGTTGGACGGTCGAGTTTCCTCGAGTTTCGCAACATGATGAGACAGCGTCGTCAGCTTCAGTACCCTCCGTTGACTGACATGTTCGTTTCCTGTGGCTACTGCCAGATGCGCGTCGAGCCTTCTGATCCGGATTCCTATGCCCGATGTTTCTCTTGTGGTGTTACCGTTCACACTGTCTGCGCACTGCGTTTCCGTGGTCCGCAACCACGACGAGGATCCGGCATAAATCCGCTCCAGTGCTATCCCTGGTTGTGTGTGGAATGCAAGACATGTTGGATTTGCGGCAGCGGGCTCAATGAGGTATGCCACTCACGGCTTTTATTATTTTTCACTCTTCGTATAGATGACTCCTTTGGCTGTTGTTTTTGCCATGTGGCAAGAGAGAAGGCTGAGCTATTGTGTGTATTATTTACGAGATTTGCATTCGGAATTTCAACAACGATTAGCTTTGACCGTTTCGCTCCACTTCTAAGCAACTCCCGGTTTTTTCTCACTCACAGGGATGATCGGTTACGACGCATTAGCGCACACTGTGACTGCCACTGTTGTTTCTCGTATTGGTTTCAAAAAGTACTAGATGTGATTAATAGGTGTTATGACAGATTTCAAATAATTAACTTTGACCCAACTGTGAAAATCTCGGCGCCTCGGTGGGATTCGACCCAACGACAGAAAATGGAGGTGTTAGTACAGCCAAAGCTCGAGCCACCTGAGCCACGAAACCCCACTGGACGACGCGAGGAGGGAAGGTGCACCCATCTGTTTGACCTCGCAGAGCAAACCTGGTGGCAGGGAACACGCACAGATTTCCATCCATCAGCCTTAAAGCGTCCAAGCAATCATTAACTCGTGTAAACCACGAAATAAGGGTTAGCAGAAAACAGTAGCTGTTTTAAGATTTATGTCTGCCCTCTTTTCTCAGCCATGCCCAGCGATTCTGAAATTCACACTACTGCCCTGATAGTCTATTGATGAGATCTTACCGATGGATCACTTGCGCCATCAGCCTGAGGTTTCGTCGGTGCCCCATATCAGAGAGTTTTTATCTAAGTTGAATGTGTTTCCGATCGCAGGCTCTTATCGGGAGCATGAATGCCTAAGGAGATTTGGAATAGGCCGAATCGCATGTTGTCTGTCCCCCCCTCCCCCCCGTGGCAGAATCAATTTTGTCCAAAAAGTCGAGTGATTTGAGTGATTCCCTTGGGCATCTGTTTTCCTTGCTTGACGACAAAGTGCCGTATTATTGTCCTCCTTGTTCCACGAATACTGTTCATTTGATACCAACATACGCGTCTCATTGAATTTATTTATGTCTTTTTTTTCTTCTTAGTGCAACTGCCGGCTTTCGCTGTCACTACAATACTAGAGGGCGATTACGCGGTCTTTCATTGTCACTACACTCGCTACTTATGGCTGGGGGAGTAGCAATCGTATTACGGTTTTTGAATTATAGCCAGTACTATCGCCACTGCCGTCGCTAAAAGTTTCTCACTTCATCGCTACCCTGTCTTCTTCTTTTTGTTTGCCTTATGTGTTACCTCGATCTGCGTGGCCGCGTCCATAGAGTCAATCGTGACAGACTAGAAACACGGAACGCTCTCAGAGCAAACTTACAGTAGATGTGCTGACTGAAATTCTTACGTGTTTCCAATTCGAAAAGCCTACTTAGGTGTTGCCGTAATATTAATTATCATGCAGCATAATCCCCGGATATTCCAGTCACGTCAGGATGCCGGCTGTCGAATGGGCTTCCTTCCGGCCGCTTGCATAAACCACACTTGGTAAAAAGTTACTACTCAAGTTGTATGAATTTTCCCCATTGACTTTAAATGCGCTTATAAATTTTTAAAAAAATTATAGAAAAAATATGCAGAAATATTTTTTTGCGCATTTGTTAGCAAGGTGTGTCTTCAAATTTTATGCTTGAAGAAATAATACCTTTCGTTCTAAAAAATGTCCTAATTCCCGAGTAATTGTGAACCCCACCTGCCGTTACACTTGCATTCAGGGTTTCCAATCTACAATCTGTATAATTTCCTCGTAAGGGAAGTCATGCATTTTTATATGCTTTTAAGAAGAGGACACATAGTGATCGTAGTTTTTTTAGTGGACGTGGACCATGTTGTTCACTTTGTAAATGGCATTAATAAATGTGTTGGCGCAATGCTATAGTATTGGACATTTCACACAAATTGCTACCAAATGCGTAAAGGAACGTATGTTCTGTGCATTTTTTTACAGATTCTTTTTAAATTTATATCGGCATCGTACATCAATGGGAAAAATTCATACTACTCAATAGTCATTTTTTCACAAGGTGTGGTTTATACAAGCGACCAGAAAGAGGCTCACTCGATAGCCGGCATCGTCACGTGACTGGAATATTTTAACATTATGCGACACGATATTTAGTATGACAATCCTACTTAAGTAATATCTTGGAATCAGAAACAGGTTTCATAATTACAGGCAACATTTCATGAGATCTGTACGTGTGGGCTCAAGCTGCGGTAACAACTTTTTAAACACCATCCTAACTGTCAGCCTTTTTATTTACCTTTCCCAACCCTCTGACAGGACCACTTGATCTCATGCAATGAATGTGATCGCGGTTTCCATGTCTACTGCTTGACTGCTGCGACCTCTGCCCGCCAGCCGACATCCCTTTTCACCGACGACTGGGTATGTGAGGTCTGTCAGCCACAGAATGGCTGCCTGCGTCTGTCACAATGAGCAAATTCCCCACGGACGCGGAGGACCTCGCGTTTTCTTCTCAACGAAACAGGGTCACACAGTAATATCAGTGTACTGCGGACTATGTAGTTTATTTGCCGCACCCACCCACTCCTACCAACCCCTCCATCCGCTCCCATGGGCTCTCGGAAACGCAGTTGACGGACGAGGCGAAGACGATGTAGCATTTTTAGAAAAACCCCGCCCCTAATAAACACTCGCCTTAACGAAAGTCTAGAGGGGTTACTTCTTTCAGCACACAGTAAGCAACCAAAATTCACAGCACTCAATCTTAAACAAATCCTTCTCGTCTCTCATTCTGACCGCCCGCTCCCATCCCCCTCGTCATCCTTCTGCCTCTTTCCGGAATCCCCAACAGTTAAAGTCGGCTTTTTGCGAATC